ACATACAGTTTTAGACATTGGACATTTGAGCAAAGAAAGAAAGGAGAAGCACTGGGTGGCAGGCAAAAGAGGGTAGTGTACTCCAGGCTCAGGTGGGATTAATGTGGAGGGGAGCAGTAGACCAGGACTGATCCAAGGGGCCAAACATTCAAGCTCTATTAGACATGCTTAAGTTCTTCAGACACAAACTGCCAAGGCGAAAGGGACCCTGTGGAGCAAGGCATGGTGGGCACACCTGCAATCCTGGCACTCGGGGACTGTGGCAAGAGGATGGATGGCCATAAGGTCAGAGACAGCCTATGCTACATGCAAGATCCTGGCTCAAAGAAACAATGGAGGCAGAGGAACCAGCCAGGAGCTGCCCCATCTCCAGGTGAACAGAGGCTATGTGGGTGGAAACAAACTGTCTCGCACTCTCAGGTGACCAAGTGAGGCCCAGCCAGGATGGACACCTGGAAACACTTAGCCATTCCCACCATCAGTCATCAGCTGGCGCTTAAGAATCATAAGCAATTGCGACATTGTGACAGTTTTGTTTTGGGGGGGAGGTGCTGTTGTCATTTGTTTCTTTAATAGCTTTTTCTGTTGTTGGGTTTTGGTTTTATGGTTATCATCCTCCTCCTCCTTCTTTTGTTGCTGTTGTTGCTATGGTTGTTTTATTTTTCTGTTACCCCTGGCTGTCCTGGAACTCACTCTGTAAACCTCAAACTCAAATGCTGAGATTAAAGGTATACACTGCCACCATCCTGATGGTTTTTTTTTTGTTTTGTTTTTTGTTTTTTTTTTTTTTTTTTTTTTTTTTTTTTTTTTTTTTTGGTTTGTTTGTTTTTTTAAAGACAGGGCCTATCTAGCCTTGGCTGTCCCGGAACTCCCTATGTAGACTGGATTGACCTCAAACTCACAGAGATCTTCCTGACTCTGCCTCCAAAGCGCTGGGCCTAAAGGTGTGGGCCACCATCCCCAGCATGCCTTGTTTTTATACAGTATCTCACTCTATAGCCCAAGATAGTCTAGAACTCACTGGGTAGCTCAAGCTGGCCTCAAACTGGTGTCAATCCTCCTGCCCCAGCCTCCTGAGTGCTAGATTACAGGTATGAGAGATACTGCCCCTCTACAGTCTTGTTCTAAAGGGAGCTATGGACCATAGATGAAGTGAGCAAAAGTGATTGCTGGCAACGCTGAGTTCAGAGTGCTTCCCAATGCCTAAATCCTGGTGAGGCCTGAGGATGGCATATGCCTGCCAGTGACTGGCTGTGAGGGATAATCACTCCTGTCATCACCTCCAAGTGGGATGAGATGCTGCTTGTGCTGCCCACACGAGACAGCTGGGCCGAGACCTGGAATGCAGATGTCTGAGTGCGCTGACCTGTCTTCTGAGCACTGAGCAGTCAGGAACAAACACTGCGGACAGAGCTTGTCCTCGGATATTGAAGACTCCCTCAGACATGAGTGGGAGTCTTCAAGCGGGCCAGGGCAAGCTATTTCAATATCTAGGTTGCACATTCTACCTTCCGTTTCTTTGCTACTTAACAGGACAAAAACCTATATTTGAGTATGCTGCCACCAAGTGCTGGTTGGTGCTCTGTTATGGACATGTGACATGAAAAATAAGACTAGCATCGCATGCCTTACAAGAGAGAAAATCAGGTTTTCCTTCCTTTCTCATCACTCTCTTCTTTTGGTGGTGCTGGTGGCTGAATAGAAGGCCTTGGTCTAGGAACTCCACCACTATGCAAGCCTGTCCCCTGGGGCTTTAAATAAGCTAGTATGAGCATTACCGTTCTCCCACCCAAGTACTAAACCAGGCCTGGCCCTTCTTAGCTTCCAAGTTCAGAAGAGATCAGAAGTTCAGTTGTAGATAGTATTATATAGTTCTAAGATGAATCAAAATAAAATCTATCTAAGATTGCCTTAAAAATAAATGTTTAGATATTAAAATAAGTAAAAATATTTCAATATAATTCCAATGCTTAATGATTAACAATTTTCTTTTTCTTAAGTAATTGATTTATTTTTATTTTATGTTCATTGGTGTTTTGCCTGCATGCAGTGTCAGGGTGTTGGGTCCCCTGGAACCGGAATTACAGACAGTTGTGAACTGACCATGTGGGTGCTTGGAAACTGAACTTGGGTCTTCTGGAAGAGCAGACAGTGCTCTTAACCATGGAGCCATCTCTCCAGCTCCAGCAATTTTCATTTAAACATGCATCCTTGAGTCTTAGTAGCTTTCATTTTTGTTCCAGAATAAAAAGTTTGGTTATGGTCAGTCTGACTTCAAAGGTGACAGGGGAGTAGAGCAGCTCTTTGAAAGGTGACACCAGCTTTATTTATAGTTTGGGGAGGAAGTCTTACTTTGTCATCCTGCCAGTCCTGAAGTCCTGGTTCGAGACACCTGCTAGCCTCAGCAGGTCCTGGAACTGCTGATTCAAGACACTCCAGCCTCAGGAAGCACCAGCCAGTGCATCCAGCCAGTCAAGCTAAGTTGTTTCCTTTGGGTCAACGGAGCCCTGCACAGAGCCTCAGGAACTCAGCCTTAAGTCATAGTCCCCTTAAGGACTCCCCATCTCTTCAAAGGCAGCTTTCACAACTGGTGGGAATTGGTTAGATTGTTGTTTTGTGTTTTGAGACTAAGTCTTGAATGGTAGGTAGCTCTTCACTCTCTAAGTAGCTGAGGATGGACCTTGAACTCCTGATCGGGCATCTACCTCCAGAGTGCTGGGATTGGAGTCATGCATTGCCCACATTCTGCTTGGCTATAACAATTTGAGCATTTTAATTTCATTTTTCTTTTGGAGGATTCCACCCCACACACACACACATACAAATTCTCAAGTACATATATGGTCACAATTAACTAGAATCCTGGCTCTATATAGCTTCTTCCTGGTTCTCTAAGATGTTTCCCAAGGGTTCTGAGAACACCCTTTTCTCTTGTTGAGGCCAAGAAAAGACAGCCTGGGCTAGACCCAACCTTGGTCTGGTTTTTTTTTTTTTTTTTTTTTTTGTTAAGTTCACACATGTATATATACTGTATTGAATTCCTATCAGCCCCCCATACCTGCCCCCTCCAGCTCCTCCCAGACACCCCTTCCCAGTCCTTAAAAGCTACTCTAGGTCTGGGAGTGTAACTCAGTTGTTAAGAGTGCTTGCCTAGCATTCATGAGGCCCTGGGTTTGACCCTCAGCACTCCAAAAACCTTGAGTGGTACTGGTACATACTTGCAATCCCAGATTCGGGAGGTGAAGGCAAGTGGATCAAGGAGCTCAAGGCCAACAGGGATACAGGAGACCCTATCTCACAAAACAACGGCAAGGAGGATGGAGAGATGGTGCATCAGTTAACAGTACTGACTGCTTCATTCCCAGCACCTGCATGGTGGATCACAACTGACCATAACTCCAGTTCCAGGGATTCCAATGCCCTCTTCTGGCCCCTAGGGGCACCAGGCACTCACGTGGTCCCAGAAAAGCATGCAAGCAAACATATATATGTGTATATACATATATGTGTGTGTATACATACATACATACATACATATATATATATATATATATCAGTAAATTAAAACAAAAACAAAGCAAACCTTACAAAAACAATGGGTGGGACATAGTGGACCAGCCTATAATCCCAGCACTTGGGAAGTGGAAGGAGGATCAAGAACTCACCATTAAAAAAAAAAAAAAGAATTCACCGTTATCCTCAGCTACACAGTGAGTTTAAGGCCAGCCTTAAGGCCATTTCAACAAATTAAAAAAAGAAGGGGAGGGAAGGGCTAAAATGAGAAGCTAACTCTGGACCAATGAGTAGGCTCAGCCAGTAAAAGCACTTGCTGGAAATGTCTGATGATCTGAGTTCACTGCCTGGAACCCACAAGAAGTGAGGAGAGAATCTGTTCCACAGTTGTCCTCTAACTCCCTCCCCCCAACACACACACACACACACACACACACACACACAATTTACACATAATATTTTTTTTTTTTTTTGAGACAGGGTCTCACTATATGTAGTCCTTGTTGGCTTGCAACTCCATATGTAGAACAGGCTGGCCTCATCTACTTGCCTCTGACTTCCAGGTGCTGGGATTAAAAGTGTCATCAGCTACACAGTGATGGTGCATGCCTTTAATCCCAGCACTCAGGAGGTAGAGGCAGGTGGACCTCTGTGAGATCGAGACCAGTCTGATCTACAGCGCGAGTTCCAGGACAAAAACCCTGTCTCAAAATACGAAACAAAACAAAAAAGGACTACTCTTGGGCAAAGTCATTTATTGAACGAATTCTAACTGAACACACCTACTACACGCCAGCAGATGGGTTTCAATATTTGTTGAGACCGGTTCTCTCTACATAGCACTGGCTGTCCTGGAACCTAGTGCTGGGACTAAAGGCATGCGCCACCACTGCCCGGACCGCCCGACCAGTTTTATCCGAACGCTGGGATCCAGCTTCTCAACCTGATAGCTTCCCGGCAATCCTTTGTGCAGGTCTGACCGCTGCATTGCGGGAAACTCGGAGCTTTAAATGACTATTGACTAGTGTGTCACTGAAACAACCCATAGGAGCCCTTAGTGCTTGCACATTTCGAAACGGCCCCTAGGGGGCATCGTCACCATTGACTAAACGCACAGAGCCATTTCCGACAGAGCCCGGGACCAGAATCAACCCGTTCTCCGTCCCTGGCAGATGTGAATAATGCAAGTTACATGATGAGCGGCAACGGGCCATTTTACGGTCCCCGGATGATTAGTCAGCCCCTTATGGAACTAGGTTCGGACTCCTGGCTCCGAATCCCTTCGCGAGTTCTCCCTACACAAACGAGATACAGCTCGAGATGTCAGCTTCGCGTCCCCGATCGAGGCCTTGGAGTCGGAGGGTTTGGGGACTTTACCCAAGTCCCCTCCGACGCTCAGACAGACATCCTGAAGGAAGCGTTAATGCAGCAGGCAGCAATTTCACCTCCGCGTCACCAGGGGGAGACGTCCCACACCCCGGCGGTCACGTGTTGTTGAGGGCGGAACCAAGCACCAGACTGGCCAATAGGAGTCGGGAGCGGGGTCCCGGAACTGAAAGAAACGGCGCCCGGGAGGGGGCTACGGGATCATGGGGCTTCTGACCATTCTGAAGAAGATGAAGCAGAAAGAGCGAGAGCTGCGGCTGCTCATGCTGTATCCTCAGAGCGCCCCAGCGGCCGCGCGGGACCGACGGGTGGGCGGAGCCGATCGCGGGCGCGGCCGCCGTGGGTACTCACTGCCGGTGGTGCGTCACTCACGCGGCGCTACCACTGCTCGGCGCGGGGCCGGGGCGGGCCGTACCACTCTGCGGGACGGGGGGTTGCGTGCTAACCCCAGCGGCGTGGTCCTGAAGGCCGGCCCTGGACCAGGGTCTCCAGTGTCCTGGCAAGGCGCGGCGCGGTGGTGATGACTCGGACGTCAGGTCGAACGTGGACCCCGCTCCTCCCCAACGCTGAGCCCCCTCCCCTTCGTGTAGGCTCTAGCGGTTCCTTCTGGGTTGGAATCCCAGGGTCGTGAGGACTGCCTAGGCCCCTGAAGGGTAGGCGTGGACTCGGTCACAGGTTAACTGTCACTCAGGGACCCTGCCGACCATCCATTGCCTTAACTAGCACCTGCATCACCTGCCTTGTGTTGTATCTGGCACCTGAGCATCTTTGATCCACAAACTGACAGGTAGAGAAGAGGGAAATTAATGTGTCCTTCGAACTTTACCACCAGTGCCAGTTTTAGACAGTTCTGAGAAAGACGGTCATTAGATTGCTATTGATCACCTACTGTGTGTGTTAGGGAATGCCATAAAGCAGAAATGAAAAAGCTATCCTTGTGGATAACGGAAGAGGAGAAAAAAGTTATAAAGCAAATAAATAAAATGTGTAGTTTGGGTTGAGAAGAATGCAGTCCAGAGTGGACAAAGACCATGAAGATAGTAACCATTGGGCAAAGACTTGAATAGTGATGTCTGGGAAAACGTAGACAGATGGCCTACAAGTGTGAAGGCTCTGGGGGACAGTGAGACTTCAAGAGAAGTCAAGGAGTGAAGAGTGACTGGAGAGAGGGAAGTTCATGGGATGGTGGCTTGGACCAAGGTGGAGAAAGTGAGGTCATGGAAGTGGGAGTATGTGACAGTAGTGCTGGTAGGACTTGCTGCTACTTTGGAGGAGAATGTGAAGGAGAAGGTGAAGCCAAGACCAAACTCCTGGTTTCTAGCCACTTGCTAAGTAAGATAGGAGAGAATAGGTTCCTGGGAAGACACCAACCCTGACTCTATTTGGGCAGGTGGGTGTTAGAAGGGATAGGATAATAATGGCCAGCTTCCCAAGGCTAAAGTTGGGCTGCAGATGAGAGGTACTCTGCTCACCCCCTGGGCTTGGGTCAGGTGAGCAAGAAGAGGTTCTAAATGCAAAGCTTGCCCCTTCCCTCTCATCCTTCAATTCAGACTGTGGTCACCCCAAGTTCTCATCTGCTGATGAGTTCACTCAGTTCTCTGCAGCAGAGGCTGTGGATCATTCCAGAACAGATTAAGGTGGTTGCCACCTCTAGATATTTGTACTTTACTTGGCCCTTCAGAATACTGGGCACATCTATTTTGGGCCAAGACCCCACAGAGCCTTATCTGATGCCTGTGTTGAAAGCCACTCCTTGCTGGAATGTCTGTCACTGGTTTCAGGGATCCCAGGTACCCAACTTTGTCCTCTCCTGCTTTGTTTAGTCTTTATTTTTTTTCTTAGACTTCTTATGTGTGTAAATATTTTGCCTGTATGTATGTATGTGCACCATGTTGAGTGCCTGGTGCCCACAGGGTTTGGTTGTGAACCACCATGTGGGTATTGGGAACTGAACTCAGGTCCTCTGCAAGACCCGATGAGCCATCTCTCCAACCCTATTATTTAGTTTTTTTACTAGTTTAAGTGTCATAAGAATGAAGATTTTTGTCTACCAACACCTGAGGGGGTCTGGCACATAATAGGCACTTAATATTTGTTGCATAAATGAAGTTACTTTGAGTTGGCTGAGATGATAATTATCTCAAGTCAGTTATGGGTCAGGCATATGCTTCACTTGTTTCAATATACAGTAGGCAAATACTAGTCCCTAAGACAGTGGTAGTGTGATGACATGTCCTCCAACAGAGATCAGGGACTTCTCCTTAGCCTATATGTTCCAGTGGCTTGGACAATGCTGGCAAAACCACCATCCTCAAGAAGTTCAACGGGGAAGATGTGGACACCATCTCCCCAACATTGGGCTTCAACATCAAGACCCTAGAGCACCGGGGGTGAGTAGGGTCACTGAGGACCACTGTGGGGCTTGGGGAAGGCAGGGAGGACAGGACCAGCCTGACCTTGTTGCCCCTTACTTCCCAGATTCAAACTGAACATCTGGGATGTGGGTGGCCAGAAGTCTCTGCGCTCCTACTGGCGGAACTACTTTGAGAGCACAGATGGCCTCATCTGGGTGGTGGACAGTGCTGACCGCCAGCGAATGCAGGACTGTCAGCGTGAGCTGCAGAGCCTGCTGGTGGAGGAGGTGCGCCCTGGGCTTTCACCTGCAGCGAAGCCAGAGACTTCCCTCCAGAGACACTTGGGGAGGGAGGGGGTCCGTTCCTTCTGGGCCCTGGGTTGAGACCTAGACTCACATCTCTTTGGTTTTACTGATTCACCACCCTGAGTTTCAGTCCCATCACTCCAGGAGCTGCCTCAATACCAGGGAGGGGGCAAAGTTCAGCAAGCCAATGAAGCTTGCATAGGAATCTTAACTTCACTGTGTGGCTTTAGGAAGATACATAGTCTACCTGAGCAACTTCCACATTCCTAAAATTATAATTAGGCTAATCTTGACATTTATTATCAACCTTTGTTGTTGTCACAGGGTTTTACTCAACTGGCTGAGGCTGGCCTTGATCTCCTGATCCACCAGCCTCTACTTCCCAAATAATGGGATTATCTATCTGTGTTTTGCCACCACACTCCATTATTAGCTATTTATTTTGGTAGGGTTGATTTTTTTTGGGGGGGGTGTATGGGGATATCAGGTTTCCCTATGTAGCCCAAGCTGGCTCCAAACTCTCCATCCTTCTGCCTTAGCCTCCTGACTGCAAGGATTACAGTTGGGAACCACTAAGCCATGCTCAGGAATTGCCATTATCTTAAGCTAAAAGTTTTATTTGGATACTGCCATTTTTCCATTAATGTGTTCTGTCTGTCCCAGGACTTGCATCGTGTTGGCCACATTTCAGTTAGGTGAAGGCCAGGACACAGGCATGCATGAGACTGTCAGGCTAACAGAGACACAGCCCCTTCTGGAGTATTGAACAGGTCTAGAGAGGTTACTGTTGTCGGAGGCTGAGGCAAGGCCCAGCACGCTAGGTCCAGAAGTTGGAGTTCTCTTTGCATATGGAGAGGTTCCCGTTGCAAACACATCCAAGGCAATAAGTAGAGAAAGAGGCCAACAGGGCGGTCCACTGGAAGTACAATTTAAGGATTCTGTGAACTGGAAGGGCAAGAGGAGTTATCCTAAAGTCCCCAGGGCAGCCCCCAACATGCTTGTGCTTTCTGCACATGGCCGGAGCTACAGAGGGCTCAGGGATCTTTGTGAGCAACACCCTCACCCTGATTATAGAAGATGAAACTGAGGCATGGAGGGCAGAGATGCCCACTAGGTGGTAGTATCTGCACCTCTGTCTGCTTTGCCTATGCCACCTGGGGCTCCTTGACAACCATGGGCCCCTGCTCCTAACCCTGCATGCTGACCACTGACCCCATGGCTTGTAGAGAAGGGATCAGCCTGTACTCTAACCCTCCCAGCCCCAGACCCATCTTCTCTTTCCCCAGCGCCTGGCTGGAGCAACCCTCCTCATCTTCGCAAACAAGCAGGACCTGCCTGGAGCACTGTCCTCTAGCGCTATTCAGGAGGTGAGTCAGGCTCTGATGCAGGCACATTAAAACTGAAGGTCATTAATGCTTTATTATTATTATTATTGTTGTTGTTGTTTTTGTTTTTTTGTTTGTTTGTTTTTGTTTTTGTTTTGTTTTTTTGTTTTTGAAGACCTGTGTAGCTGTGAAGCCTGTCCTGGAACTCACTCTGTAGACCAAGCTGGCTTCAGACTCACAGAGATCCCCCTGCCTCCACCTCCGGAGAGCTGGGTTAAAGGCATGCGCCACTACCAGTGCCCAGTGTACTTTATTATTTTTAACTTTATTATTTTTGGTTTTTTGAAACTGGGTTTCGACAGCGCTAGCAGGCCTCCTCAGACTTACTAGGATGCTCTGAACTGTTCATCTTCCTGCCTCCACCTGGTTAAGGTGTGAACCACACTGTCTGTTTCTGCAGTGCTGCTGTTTGTTCCCAGAGCCTTGTGCATGCTAGGCAAGCACTTTACAATTAGAGCCACGCCCCCAAGCCAATATATTTTTTTACTTACTTTTGAGACTGGGTTTCTGTAGCCTAGGCTGGCCTAGAACACACAATGTAGCCCAAGCTGGTCTCAGACTCAAAAGCAGTCCTCCCGCCTGGAACTTTAAGCCTGCACCTCCATACCTAGCTAATGGTTGGTTTTAAAAGCACTTATTAGCTCCTGCCGTGTGTCAAGATGTAGGCAGGACTCCCAGAAGTTGACGATTAATAAGGTAGAGTGGCCCCCAGTCTGGGAGCAGGCAGACCTGTAAATAGATCACTTCCCAGGGTTCTAGCAGCCAGCCTGCAGTGAGTGCTTCCTATTTCGATGCTCTCTGCGTGAATTCACATTCTTATTCTTCCTTCATACAACAATTTCATGAGGGAGAAATGACTGTCACTGTACAAAAGGTGCAGGGGCAAAGAATAAGTAACCTGCCAATGTCACATAGTAGGTAAACAAGCCAGGACTGTGCTTCATGCTGACCTAGCCCTGGAGCCATAGTTGAATCTTAACTGCTTGTCTAACAGGCTTAGGATCTTTTTTGGGGAGAGGGGCTTTTTTAAATTAGAAACTATCATATTTTACATATCAGTCCCAGTTCCCTCTCCCTCCCATTCCACCATCCACCCACTCCCCAAGGACAGTGAGGCCTTCCATGGGGGATCATCTAAGTCTGTCACATCATTTGGAGGAGGGCCTAGGCCCGTCTCCGAGTATCTGGGCTGAAAGAGTAATCCCTCCACAGGAAATGGGCTCCCAAGGTCCATTTGTACACTTGCTGATGGAAGCAGAAGCAGGCACCCACACCTAAGCAATGAGCCAGATTGCTGGAATCCAGTTGTAGAGAGGGAGGAGGGATGAGCAAAGGAGTCAAAGCCATGTTGGAGAAACTCACAGGAAAGCTGACTTAAGCCAGAGCACATGGACCCCAGGCTTAGAATCTTAATTGTTTGAGACAAGTGGCATTAACCTCCTGCCTCCCCCTCCTGTGTACTGCACTGTAGGCATGCACCACCATTCCTTAACTAGCTGTGTGATGTGGAAGGTTGCAGAGCCTGGTAAAATGGACCTCACTGTCCGTGGATCAGGAGGCCTTAGCAAGAAACAGATGACCTCTGTGGTCTCTGCAAACTGTCTGGCTCCTAGCAAACTCTCAGCAGCCCATGTTGATTTTATGTCACTGAGGGGTGGCACTGGAGTGCAGTTAGAGTCTCCCATTGGGTGACTGGGAAAGGACAGGCAAAGACCTGCTGGTCCCACCAGTCCTTTGTGTCCCCAGGCCCTGGACCTGGCCTCCATCCGCAGCCATCACTGGCGCATCCAGGGCTGCAGTGCTGTCACCGGGGAGGATCTGCTGCCTGGCATCGACTGGCTCCTCGATGACATTTCCAGTCGTGTCTTTACTGCTGAGTGAGCTTCTTCAGGGTCCCCAGCCCACTGTGCAGGCCCTTACCCCTCATCAGACACCAGCTAGGGGGACAGGCACCAGCCGGCCAGACTAACACTCCCAACCCTGCCGTGACCTGCTACTGCTGCCCACTGCTGCTCCCGGCCCATGCGCGGGCTGTCACCCTGGCTCCTGAAGTGGCCTGCAGCTGCCATGCCAAAAGGAAAGGTTGGACTGGGAGGGACTACATGCTGCTACAAGGTCCTGGATGTCGCCTCTGTCCAGCAGTGAGAATAAAGCACTCCTTTCCCAGTTCCTGGCTGAACCATTTGTGTGTCACTAACTAGTCCCCACCTGGAATGCTTGAGTCCAGAGGGGACAGATCATAGCAGAGGTATATTGTGGTTTTATCAAAGAAATGTGCAGAGCATGGAAACAGGGCTATCTGGTTCCATCTGCAAGAGACCAAGTAGTCTTTTTGAAGGTTACATTAAAATAGGGAATCTGGGGGGAAGAGAAAGGTTTGAGAAGAAGGGGTTGGAAGTTCCCTAGAGAAACATCTGCCTTCATCAGTATAAAGTACAAAAAAAAAAAAAAAAAAAAAAAAAAATCAGACTCACTCCCTGCCCCAGCCTAGGTGGGGCTCACAGGTAGTTTAAATTCAGTTCCTAGCTTGCCAGTGCAACCAGCAAAACTTGGGCAGTGGGCAACTTGCCCAGCTATAGGAGGACGGATCAAACAGATATTCCTAACAAGTTGGGTTGTTCGGGAAGTGGGAAGATGGCTAGCTATATCATTCAGAGATGACTAAAACTAGTAGGGCCTCAACCGCCTAGCTAGACTATTTTCAGCCAGGGATGGCTCTACCAAGAGCTACCCACAGTTCAGTGCAGGGTCAGCCCTGTTCAAAAGACTTAAGCATCCCTTCCATGGGGCAAGCTGAGCCTCTAGCAAGGTAAATGACTGTCTCAAAGCCTCCCACCTGCCACCTCTTGTGTAAGTCCAGATCTTGCCTCCTATTGTGGCTTATGCTTGAAATAGAAATGCCCAAGGCAGATACTGGCTTGTTTGTCCGGGGGTCCTGCCAGTTTCTCAAAGTCCTGATGCCACCAAGCCCAATGGGCTATGTCCTAGGGGGTAGGGCAGTTACCTAAAGGGAAGTGATGACACACTAAACTTGAGCTCCACCCATGCCACCTCCAGAGAGCCAGAGCCATGAGTTTTAACCTGGACCCTCAGGAAGGAGGAACACAGGCATCAGAACAGAAACTGTCCTCCAGAACAGTCTGTCCTCTCCAGACACTGGGTAGAACTGCTGAGGGATTTAAAGAGCTTTCCTTGTCCAGACTCAGCTCCCCCAAAACAAGTTCTCCCCTGCTCTCCTGTTCCCTTCTCTCCCATCTTTCTCAAAATGATTTTTCTTTAATTTTTCTCTTGTTTTAGTTGGAATCTCTCTGGGTAACACAGGCTGGCCTGGAACTCATTCATGGTCTGCCTCAGTGTCTCCAGCACTGGGATTACAGGTTTGCACAGCTTCCTTAGTGCTGATTAAATTGCACACCAAGATATCTAGCAACACACTCTTGTCTTGGGCTCTGGAGAAAGTCACTCCAGGAGTGATGACAGCCAGAACATGGAAAAGAATTGATCATAAAATAACTAGACACCAGCAAACAGCCTTGTTTGGATCAGTTTTCTTTTAGATTAGCATGCTTGCTGTCCTTAGCCAAAGCAACCTCTGGAAGCCTCATCCTGTCCTGTCAAAAATCATAGAAAAGGCTTAAGTTTGTGGTAGATGGCAATAAGGACAGTAAGTCCCCATCCTCCGAGCTGGCTTGTTATTTTAAAAAGCACTCTGGCTCCAACCTCTGTAGTGTGTATTTGTGTGTTGAGATAAGGTCTTCAGCTTTATCAGATGGTAGGATCTTTTCTCCACAACCTGAGGTCTGCATGTTCTCAGCCCTGTTATGAACAAACACACCCAGGGCCCAGAAACACCCATGTCCCTGCTTCACACTCAGTAATGCTGACAGCACTACCTAACCCATCTGGGCTTTGACTGTCTAGGGAAAGATAACATCAGCACCTGCTAAAATAGGAATAAGCTGGTGTCAGGGCATCATGAGCATTGGGTAAGGGTCAAGTATGGTTGTGATTTGAAGCAATGGGAAGCATTCAGCCACTGCTACAATGCAATCACCCCAATGCTAGGCTTCCTGGGCCTCGAGCCAGCAGGAAGAAGTGAATTAAACAGAGACCAGAAAATAGCAAGGTTATGGTCATCAAGGGACTGTGAGTAGAGAGCAAGTGCTGGGATGGAACCCTCATCTCAAAGTCAATGGGCAGGAAACATGGGCACAAAACAGCTGGCACCAGCAAGGACAGGGACAAGGCAAGAAAACTGGGAAGCTAGACATACCTTGAAAGATTTTAGTTTGCAGAGCAAGAATGTAAGAAAGGGGCAGGAGACTAATTCTTGCAAGTGGAATATGAAAATCATAATGGATGTTGACATGGGAGGAAAAAACAGGAATTACGAGAACAAGAAAGGTTACTATGGTGATGGTGCTAGTGGTTATATGCTAGACTGATCTTGTTAAACAGGGCTAGTTACTAAATCATCAAACCTTTGTGGAATAACTGAAGGCTCTAAATGTAAAGCCAAGAGAAAGCCAGAGTATGAAAAAAGTTTCACACAGGTCTTGGCCCACAACAAGGAAATAGGCCCCCAACCCTGGAACAAATGATTCCAGATAAACAGCCCTGTCTGGGTCACTCCTGGCCAATGGACAGTCTGGGGATTTTTCAAGTCATTCTATGGTTTATCCCTTGAATAGGAACAGGTCATACCTGGATGATCTCTCAAACATGAGATCATACTTTGTAATCAATCACCTTGTGCCCCATGCATGTATGCTGATTTGCGGCTTGTCTCTATAAAAAGGAGCCTACACCCTTTAGGGGTGTGCAGCTTTGCCCGGGTTGCTGACACCCAAGTGCACTCGTTCAAAAAACACCTCTTGCTTGTTTTGGTGTTTGTGCCTCGGGACTCTCCCATGGGCCCATCAGGACCCCAGAATTAGGGTCCAACAACCTGTAATTCCAGTCCTCGGGAGTGGAGGCAAGAGGATAGCTACACAGGGAGCTTGAGGCCAGCTGAGGTTAGGTGAGGTCCTGCCTCAAAATCGTGTGTGTGTGTGTGTGTGTGTGTGTGTGTGTGTGTGTGTGTGTGTGTTGTTTTGGGGTTATTTGTTGTTGTTTGCTTGCTTGGAGATAAGGTATCACTAACTACCTCACTAGGTAACACTGACTGGCCTGGAACTTCCTGTGTAGACCAAGCTTGGATGCAGAGATCAGCTCATCTCTGCCTCCTGAGTGCTGGGCTTAAAGGCCACCACACCTCACCCCTTTCCAAACTTGTTTTCTTTTAAAATTTATTTTATATTTGTGTGTGCCACATGTGTCTAAAGAGACCAGGAGAGGGAGAGCTGCAATTACAGGCAGTTGTGAGCTGCCAGGCATGGGTGCTAGGTTCTGAACTCTGGTCCTATAGAAGAGTAGCAAGCACTCTTTAATCACTGAGTCTTGTGTCCAGCCCCCTAGCAATCCTTTTTGCTCCCAAGATGAGTGGCTCAGTGGGATTCATTCTGTTAATGCCAGTTAGTCATCTCCTATCTAGTGCTAAGCCAAGACAGAGCATTTGCAACCCCACCCTTCAGATTCACACTCACCACAGCCTCAGTCAAAGTCTGCCCGAGGTGGGTGGGGTGGGGGAGTGATGGGCCAGGGTCCTGCACTGCCTCTGTATCCTGAGCACCAGTGATGGTCATAAGGGATTTGCTACTCTAATTTCCACAGGGGCCTATCACCCGTGACAGTGGACACATAATCAGCTTTTGGTTTAGCCAAGTTTTGGGGCTTTTCCCACCTCAGCAGCTTTATGGTGGTTTAAATAAGAATGGCCTCCATAGGCTCATATATGTGAATGCTTAGTCATTAGGGAGTAGCACTATTTGAAAAGGATTAAGAAGTGTGACACACCTTATTAGAGGAAGTGTGTCACTGGTGGTAGGCTTTGATGTTTCAAAAGCCCATGCTAGCCGGGCTGGTGGTGGCACACGCCTTTAGTCCCAGAACTCAGGAGGTAGAGGAAGGCAGATCTCTGTGAGTGCCAGACCAGCTTCTGGTCTACAAGCCTGTCCAGGACAGGCTCCAAAGCATAGAGAAACTCTTGTCTTGAAAAACCATCATGCTGAGCCCAGTGCCTCTCCCCCTGCTGCCCGTGGATCTCCATGTGGAACTCTCAGCCCGTCTCCAGCACCTGGTCTGCCTGTGTGCCACCCTGCTTCCCACCATGGTGATAATGGACTAAACCTCTGAAACTGTATGCAAGTCCCAGTTAAACACTTTTTTAAAATAAGAGTTACCATGGTTGTGGTGTCTCTTCACAGCAATAGAACACTGACTGAGACAAACCACCTCAGATTTTATTTTGTTTTGTTTTTTTAGACGGGGTCTTTTATATAACTCTGGCTGTTTGGAGCTCCCTTTATAGACCAGGCTGGCCTAGAACTCATAGAGATCCACTTGCCTCTGACTCCCAAGTGCTGGGATTAAACATATGTGCTATTTTGCCCAGCATCTCCTCAGAGTTTGAAGTGGTTCTTTCATCTACTCTTTCCCATTTGAAGATGGGATTTCTGGCACAATATGCTGGTGAAAGAAATAAAAGCTTTTAATCTGTAGAGTAAGGTTGTGGGAAAGGGGCAGAAGAATAATTCTTGTAAGTGGAATATAGAAAATCATAAAAAATGGACATTGATATGGGAGGAAAAGACAGAAATTATGAGAACAAGAAAGTTACTATGGTGATGGGGCTAATCATGCTAGGCTGATTCTGTTAAATAGGGCTAGTAACTGAATCATCAATCTTTTGTGAAGTCTCTCCCAGGTTGTGGCCCACATCAAGGAAATGGACCCCAACCCTGGAACAGATGGTTCCAGATAAACGGGTGTCCAGGTCATACCTGACCAACGGACAGTCTGGGGTCTCTCCAAGTCATTCTGTTATTTTCCTTTAAAGAAGAACAGGTCACACCTGGGTGATCTCTCAAACATGAAATTATACTTTGTACTTTGTAATTATACTTTGTAATCAATCACCTTTGTGTCCCATGAATGTATGCCACTTTGCACTCTTTAAAAAGGACCTGGGCCCTCTGAGGAATGGGCAGCTTTCCCCCAGATTGCTGGCACCCGAGCGCGCACTCATTTAATAAACGTCTCTTGCTTGTTGCATTTCCTGGTTTGGTGTC